TCCAGATATTACAGGTTCCGACAAGTAAAGAATTTTTATAGTCCTGCCACAAATAAGCTATATATTGATTATTGACCATTTGTGACATGCTATAACGAGCAAAAATTTAAAAAAACTAATAGGTAGGTTTAAAATTAATAAATACAAATGTATTCTGGCAGTGAATGAGTTAATTATGCTTTCTATTTGCAAAACTCCTCAACCTTAACACAAAATAAGAAAAAAAGTGAATTTTTAAGAAATTTGCGGGATTTCCCGGGATAAGAAAAATTTCCCGGGATATTTCCCGGGTTAAAAAAACAACCGGGATCCCGGGATCCCGGAATCCCGTTTCAGAAACCCTACTCATCACTAATACACCTCGAAGGACGCGACAGGGTTGTTGTAAATTTTAAACGTTTCTCGCCATAGCTGTAAAAATCTACATATGTTAAACTTCATAGATTGTCCGTCGTTTGTTTTCTAACTAATTCATTTTAGGACCGGGTGTTCACGGAAATTTCCAAAATTTACAACTTTTAGGTCACTCTCATCGAACTGGAAAAATTTCTGTCTTAATTATTACATCTAATATTACGAAGAAATCAGTCACCACTGCACTGGGCTAGTGATTGGTTTGGTTAAGCTTTTAAGTAAAATTTCGGCTCTTTCATCAGAGTTTTATTTAGGTCCCTAATTCCCTAATCTCTTAATTATTTAACTACTTTTTAAGTAGAAATAAGTCGAAACCGGTTACTTTGTACTCGAATATTTGTAGTCTCGGAAAAAAAGTGGAAAGACAAATATTTACGACAACGGATGTATTGATATAAATCGTAAATTTAAGGAAAATTAATTCTAGAGCTTTTTTTGTACCTTGTGCATCTCACTAATTAAATTTAGTTGTAAATGATGCTGTCAAAGTAACAGTTAATTTTTTAACATTATACAAGAATTGTACGCGTTTTTTCTGCGTCCCCTTATAGATAGAACATACTAAATTGTAATATCACTAGTTTAACATTGAAATCTGTAAGTAATACAAAATGGGAAAGCAGAATAAAAATATTAAATATTTTAATAGATTTTTTAAAATTCCTGTCATCNCTGTGGTTGGGGGGGGTCGGTAGCACGATTTTGTTACCCACTTTGAAGCTTAACAACTGCTGTGATTTGTCAAAAATTTCTGAAATTTTGTAGGGAAGTTTGTATCCCGGGTCTCCCTTGACCACTCGGCCATCCGACCCATTTCTCGACGTTTCAAGGTGTCCTGAGTCCAAAAATATAAAAATCTTGGGAACCATTTTTTGACTGATCGCCATACTTTCCCTCTGTTATATATAACAGCCGGAAAAGTAAAAATAAAAAAAAAATAACTGTTAAAATTATTCCTCTTCCGACCGTCCATTCTATTACGGATAGAATTTTAAAAAATACGGAAGATTAAAAAAGAATGGAAAAAATACCGAGAAAAAACATAAATGAAAAAGAAGCGACGGTGCAGAGAGAAAAGAAGAAGCTAGACAGCGTTAATTGTGTCAATAAGTGAATATTTTCGGATATGTACGAAGAGTAGTTGACGGATGACAGACAACACGTATTTTCATCACTAACATACAAGGGAAGCGGCGCTTCTATCGCTTCCAAGGACGTGATAAACGTTTAGACGCAAGCCAAATTTTATACACATCCACGAGCAGCATGGCACAAATACATCTCAGGAGGCAGAGCAATGACGATTTGGTCACGTCAGATGACGTTTTCTATTGTTAACAAATCACAAAATGTGTGAAAAATTAATTTTGACAATATAATTAAGGATTTCGTTGAAATCAAAGCACGGAGAATCATATTTTTAATTTATTTCATTTAAAATATATGCTCTCCACCTCACATTACAACTGTTTTGCCCCTGTACATTATACTTTTCTTTTAACAATAGAGTCGTGCCAGTCATTAACACCTTTCGGGCGGATTTTTGAATTGAAATAACATGACTTCCGATTTGTATTGTATGTTCTTATATAGTTACTCGGAGCCTTCTACCCCTAAGGTTTTCATATCTGGTCTCGTCTTTCATCTATCTGACTCAATTCTCGAGATTAATTAAGGAAAGACAGACGGACGGACGACAGTGGAAATTTTTAGGTCTACAATTGTTTCAAATTGCAGCTCAATTAAATGTGTATTAGAATTATCATTTGTGACTGTAAAAGCAAACTCTTAGAAGTCAAAAAGTAATAATTTTCGTAGTAAGACAACTTTAAAATTCACTAGACTGATATAAATCCGTATAAAACCTTAAAAAGTTGATCTTTTATATATCAGAGTACTGTATATAAATCATTCTTATCGATTTGACAATGCGAATAAGAATAAAAGCTATTAATATTTACTTAATACTGCATTTCTATTTACTTTGCGAAGATTATTTTAAATTTATAAGCGCTTTACTAAATTTAGAAATTTATTTTAATCCTCTACAGTTTATAAGTTTTAAATAAATATAAAATTTAATTTTAATTAAATAACGTTTTAGTACAAACAATGACACTTTAGTTTCACCAGGCCCAGACGCATTTGAATTAGGGGACCCCGTGTACATTACCTGTGGGCATAATTGAGCCAAAATATATAATGAAGCGATCTGCTTTGGATCTTGCAGTTAAAACAGTCGTGAGTCGTTTAACTTTTGAAGCTCCTACTTGTCCTGAAACTCCACTATAACTATAAGGGCAGACTTTATATTTTCCCCTAAACAATATTTCCACTTAAATAACCCCATCCTGCTGATTTCACTCTAAATTTAGAGAGAAAAAACCCCTTAGTTTGGAATAACTAGAATGGTTTGCGTACAACATGCTGTATTTATTTTACACTTTTTACGACTGCGGATCTAATACGAAACGGTGTTTATTAATATAAAATATAGTTCGATTTTATATAACTATCTAAGATAAAAATAATTAATTAATTTTTCTTTTTATTAAGGACAAGATAAATCGAACCATAATTTATCTCTAGAGAAGAATGTCGGAACTTCTCGTGACATAAATATCTTTCGATAATCTATCTAATGACAAGAAACCGAAAGTTGTAATTTATCTATCATATCGCGATAATATATAGATTAATTTTTACTTTCCCGGCACTGTTATATTATATATAATAGAAAAAAAAAGTATGACGATCGATCAAAAAATGACTCCCCACAGATTTTTACATTTTTGAACTCGGCAGACCTTGAAACATTGAGAAATGCATAAAACTTGGGTTTTTTTTGTATGTATGGATATTGTTAGTGTCTGTGTGTGGGGGGGTCGGTAGCACGATTTTGTTACCCACTTTGAAGCTTAACAACTGCTGTGATTTGTCAAAAATTTCTGAAATTTTGTAGGGAAGTTTGTATCCCGGGTCTCCCTTGACCGCTCGGCCATCCGACCCATTTCTCGACGTTTCAAGGTGTCCTGAGTCCAAAAATATAAAAATCTTGGGTACCATTTTTTGACTGATCGCCATACTTTCCCTCTGTTATATATAACAGCCGGAAAAGTAAAAATAAAAAAAAAAAATAACTGTTAAAATTATTCCTCTTCCGACCGTCCATTCTATTACGGATAGAATTTTAAAAAATACGGAAGATTAAAAAAGAATGGAAAAAATACCGAGAAAAAACATAAATGAAAAAGAAGCGACGGTGCAGAGAGAAAAGAAGAAGCTAGACAGCGTTGTGTCAATAAGTGAATATTTTCGGATATGTTCGAAGAGTAGTTGACGGATGACAGACAACACGTATTTTCATCACTAACAAAAGAACGAAAACGACAGCAAAAACTAGACGAGATGCAAGATGGAGATAATTATGATGATTACGAAGGTTTATATCCCAGGTATAACCTATATATCCTTTAAGGTGTGGAAGAGGAAGGAGTCGATACACCGTTATGTTCTAATTTAAATTCGTTTATCATCATTCGTATTCATTGGAAGGAAGTATTTCCCACGTTATATCTAATCTTATAGTCTATATATTTCGAAATACTGTATATGTTCCAAAAGAAAAAGTAATTAATTTAATAAATTTGAAGGGAAAATACTGTACTGTATTACATACTGTATACTGTACTATTTTAGTACCTAGTGTACTGGAGGTTATGGATTATGTTGATACTGGGCAAGCATCTTGCAACTATGTAAGAGAAAAATGTATGAAGCCGCAGGAAGCCCACGAAGTTTCCTGTGGCCCGCATCCATAAAAGGTTGCTCTTACTGATTTAGAGATTATCACGTGTACCCATGATTTGAACAGAAAACATTTGATAGTTGATCGGTGGTCGCAGGTCAATCGCAATAGCAGCAGCAACAAGCAAACTTTTATAGCTACTTCTTATATATCTAACTCTTATATACATAGATTTTTAACTAAGTCACTCTCTATATTGCGACACGTAGGCTATAATATTTTTTTCGAAAAAGAGACATCGAAGAACCTATTTTTTATAAGTCTATGACTAATCCAACGAGAAAAAATTAATCTTTAAGCGTTAGTAGACTAATGCTTAAAGATTAATTAAAGATTAAAGTTCATTACATTGTATTATATAATAAAAAAACAAGAATTAGAAAAAAAAGGATTACATAATCTTGTTAATTCATATTGATAATCCTTTCTTTTAACGCATCTCTAGTAGATAGTACAGTACTGTACATTTTTATCGTTATTTTATCGGTAAACAGTTTAGTTTGGCAACAGAACTGCAGTTGTGTATATAAGTCTTTCCGATAAACTGTCAGAAAATAAGAACATGCTTTCGATAAAAAACAAAATTTATCATAAAACAACAAGATTAATTTGAAAATATTTAAATAATTACTTACTTTCTTTTCACCACGGCTACTATGCAAGTATATTGACTTCCTCGGATGGCTCTTAATGATCTGTTAAAAAATACATTGTAATTTTTTATGTTGCATAGATAATACTTTGTACCACCACAAAAACTAATTTAAACAATTGACAATTGGGATTGATAACCGATGCGAAAAATCTTTTTGGTATAAACACACCGGGAAATCTCTTTATTCGTGGAAATAATCAACTTTAGTGTCACAAGAATAAGTGTCGAAAGACGTTTTCAGTCTCCAATGTGTTCTTATATATATATATATAGCAGCTATAGCCTATACCTTGTACAAGTCCGTGGAGAAGTGAAGCTGGGGATTTTCTTCTGGGTCCGGAGAAAACTTAGGGAGTCCGTAGTGATTCATACCACTACCCTTACAAATTAATTTTATTTTTACTAACAAAAACTAAAATATTTAAAACTCTTTTCATTTTTTTTTCGCTTTTTCCTTTCTGGGCACTAACGGCACCTTTTTTAAGCAAGCCCATCTATGAGTTCGGCCAGGACCACAATGGGGAAGCTGGGTGGTGAGTGTCGGGGCCCAACATATCCGGATGGTCCATCGTCGAAAAATTTTTGTGTTTTCGACCCATCCCAGAGTGATAACTTTCGGCCATCCGGACGTCGATTACTTTTTATTATAAAGGAAACACTATGAATTTCATTTGTTTAAAAAAATGGCAAAATTGGCCCAGTAATAAGCAAACAGGTCCCATACAAACTCTTAACGCCCCTATATGTATTTATACACACAGAGTGATCATAATTAGAGATAAATATTGGATAAATCTCAACCAAATTTGGTATAAATAACGTCCTGAGTATTCGGTTTTGATTTTCAGAAAGAAAATGTTACTTTAAAATTCAACCGTTAGAGCAAAATTTGGCTCTGCTATCTCCTTAATGTGCATATTTTAAGGTTAAGAAACAAAGTGAAATAATTTTATTTCAATTACAAATGTGATTACAGATGTAGATTTACCATTTTGTAGATTGAAGAGTTTTAACAAGTAACACACGATCAGGAAAAGTGAGCACCGTGACTGTTCACCCATCAAAGAATTGTGAAGAACAATTGTAACTCTTTTTATACTCGAAAAAATTCATTTTAAAAACGTACGTAAAACGCACATTAAGAGGACAGCGCCGTCAAATTTCTCCCTAGGGGCTGAATTTTGAGAAACAAGCACTTCGTTAATAATATATGAACTTATAGGATTTTTTCCCCTTTCAGTAAAACGTTTTCGAAAACAAATAAAAGTAAAAAGGGATGTTTCGTTCGATTTTCGAAGTAAAACTATCGATTGCATTATTCCGACTTGTCTGATAGAATTCCATTGTTAAATTTGTCGAGTCGACCTTATAGATTATCAATAGACCCTGAAGAAATCTCGTCTTCTCGCACGAAATCATCAAAAAATTCCTGGTAATCTATACATAGTATCAGTTCTTTTAAAATCTTGTTTTCACTAATGTTCAAATCTGTGAATATAAATGCTTAAATAAGTGGACAATTGAACGTTTTATTACTGAATTTCGAAGACCGATGCACCCTCAATCACACAGATAATATCACAATGGCGGATTTAGGAAGAGAAGAGCGTTTCTCTTCTTTCGACCAGAATACCGATACTGTATTCTGTTTATTCAAGTTTTACTATATCAGTACTTAATATATTTTGTAGTCAATGTTTATCAAATACATACATGACGTTCGTTGCTGATAAGAAAAGGTCTACTTTAGTCCGATTTTATATAACATATCACACTAGTAATTATTCTAGACGTTACTGGATTAAAAATAAAACGGGAAAAATATCAGATCTATGTGTCAAGTTTTGCATTTTGTTATAACCTATAGAAGAGTTTTTTAATATTGAATTGGCATAAAAGCTGGCATCATTTCGTCACAAGAAAACGTATACAAGAAGTAATCGGAAAGATGTTCGTCACGCGTTGTTGAATACATAGGTTACTAAAATAGATAATGCTATGTCGAAACTATTAAAAGTAAGCACGTGCATCGTCATATATAGGTAATTGTTACTTCTAAAGACGAGTTAATGATTAAAAACTTCTCTTATAGAATATAGATATGTATATAGAAATAATTTGCTGTACTGTGAATTAATTTTTCCTCTTATTATTTTCGAAATCGAATCATATCGTTACGCGAATATACGGTATATCTCTTTGTAGTTATACTACGATAAAAATAAATGACGCTCGACATTTTGACAATGAATACAGAAAATTGAAACATACCCGCACAAGGCGACGGGGTCGTAAGACCTGGACTGTCTACTGTCGACAAATATTAAGTGATGACGACGGTTTAAGTATTCTTCCAGCGCCTTTTCCGGGTCGTATACCAGAGAACATTCGTATTGAAGTTTCTCGGCTGCCCATTTCAACGCGTCGCTTTGAGCGTCTTCTTTGGGAAAAATTAGCAACGCCTAAAGAAATACCAAAAAAGATATTAATACTATTTCTTTCCAAAGTTGTCTTAATAAAGTTTAATTGGTGGGAAAAAAAAGCGGGAATTTAAAAAAACAATACAGGAGCTGTATGTGTGTTTAACGTAGATCCCCGTAATAATGCTACCTCTCTTGAACTCAATGTGTGTGTATGTGTGTGTCCAAAAAATTGGTTTCTTGTTAAACTTCTTTGCTCTAGTCTAAGATTCAATCTATACTTGTTGTTACTATTAACCATATCCACAAACTAATGAATTTTCTTGTTGTCTATTCAATTAATTAATACAGTAATTGGAAACCTTTGGTAAGAATATGAGAAACTACAATCAAAACACAACCTTTGTGTTTTGGTTGTGTTTTGGTCTAAAATAAACCAAAATACACTTGTGTTTTCGGTGTTTGTTTGGGTATTTTGTTTTGTTTTTTCTTTCTTGATCCATTGAAAAATGCTCGTCCATGTAATTTATTTGGGTTTTTCTTAACCGATTAAAGTTGATTTAATTCATCGATTAAATAAAGTTTATAAGGATCGTTTCTCTAAGAACGTCTCAGGAAGTTTCTTTGCAGTTTACAATGTTCTTGTAATCGAATCCCGATAGTTATTCGCAATTTTTTTTTCTTTTGATTTCAATTTCGTTTTTAAAATTCTTTTTCATATTTGCATCTTTTCGGAAATTTCTTTTCTATATATTTCTGGAATTTACGAAATGTTCAAAAAAGCCATTTTCCTCGCAAAAATCCTGGTTTTTGGTAGAAAGAAATAATTCTTTAGCCTATATTTAATGTCGATTGCCGTTCGAATGCTTCTTTAAAGACAATCAACCGAAGAAACGAATCCTACGAAATTAACAGAAAACGGCAACAATCCTTCGACAAATAAACGAAAAGTCTTCCTGTGTAGGGAATTACACAGAAAGGCGTTTGTCACCGGCGTATGCGTGCCCGATAAAGACAATAAGGTAATAAATTAATGAGATAGTAAAGAAGACTTACTTTAATCTTCTGTCGGTTAAGGCACATCGGTCCAAATTTAACGACGGAACTTCCTTCCTGATAAAGAAAAAACAAAAACAATAAACTTTATCCATTCAATTCTTTTGGAAATTAACTAAATGACTAAAATGTCTACGTTTCCGAATTTCATTTCATCGCGTTATTGACGGTCATTTTCTCCTCCCAGGAATTTCTTTTCTATTTGACATAGAAGCGATTCTTTATTTTAAAAGGGACATATTCCCTGTACGCACGAATTCGTCTCGAAATGCCGAAACGACTTCGAGCGTAGACGGAAGATTCTATATAATTGGAGGCTGCGCGAGGCGTCGGGGGCAACTTCCGTCAATTCTTTTTCCGCGGAAACGATCAAAAAGAGAAAGACCTACCGGATCGAGAGCTCGAGTGAATCCTCGTAGGACGCTTCGCGCCTCTCCGGAACAGGCGGAATGCGCCGCGAAACAGTTCACCTTTCGCATGACCGTCGATCCCGTTTAAAAAATCGCTTCTCCGCTCCGTCGACGACGCCCGCGACGCGTCGCTTCGAATCTTCGACTGACGTCACGTCTTTAGGGCCAAAAGTCTATCGCGCACCCGTCGCTTCCTTCATTTTTCATCTAACGGACAATTGTCCTTTAAATGAAATATGAAAGAAGACTTAAATTCCTTCTTCCGTTATAAAAAATAAAAAAGAGATCCGGATAAACAATCGTTTAAAACAGCGATACTCGCAAAGGGATATTCGCTAATCAGTGACCGAATGGGTTCCTGAGCAACAAATTGGCAATGTGGAGTTTTTCGGGGTATTTTTCATACGTCTGACACCTAAATAGGGACAAATTTCCTATAAAAAATCCTTCCAGAAGACACTCTTCTTTGATCGCTCGTGTAACCAATTTTGTCGCCTTATCCCACCTTTGTATGCCTATTACTGAACACCTAGCCATATATGTAAGTAAACTCACGCCAATCAAAGGTTTATAAAAAATTATTGAGTGATATTACTTAGAAATTATTACGTAAAATTTAAATCGTACCTATTAATCAAATAATTGCTGATAAATAATATGAAATTGTGAGAAAATACATAAATAAATGAACGAAAATGGAGACGACAAACATTTAAGACAGTTTTTAAATTTATTATTATTACTACTACATTATAAAGAATATTTTTATATTCATTATGAAAAGTTTTTTTAAAAAGTTAATGCATGGTCGAGCTTTAATTTCGGTTAACAAATAAATCAAACTTGTCATTTCCATACAGAAGGTGACTACTATTTCACGCCATAAACTTCTATTTTCAGTCTTAAACATACGGAAAAGAGAATAGTAGTTCATTCTTTCACATTATTAAATCATCTAGTTCTTTTCTCTTGCCTTTTTTTCCCCCGGAAAGACTGGGAGAATTTTCTATAGATATAGAGTTTTGTCGTAGTTTATGATCGAAGAATTTCCTGACCTCGATAACTTAAATTTATGACAATTTTATCCATCTTCATCATTTCTAATATCGTTACTTGTTTAGTCTAGGGTAACTTTAAAATTTTCTTATAAATCCACATCTTAAAGCTGTCAATCTTCTCAGTGAGATGTGGTTGAGAGTCCATTTTTTTTCTGCCTCACATAGTAAGACCAGATGTAGTAGGTGATTAGTCTTTTTCTACATTCTATGATTACCTTTTTGGATGTCAGATGTTAAAGATAGATCTTTTAATTTCTGTTTTTTCGTATTCCGAATCGATTCTGTTGTCCTTTTTCCTCAAGTGACCAAAATACAGGGTCAGCAAAACTCGCTTAACATCGTTATAAAATCGAACTAAGTTAGACAAGAAAAATTTTGGCGTGTTAAACCTAGGGACAACCATCTTTATATGTGTCAATCGGACGGCCGCCATCTTTTAAATGGGAATGGGATCATGCGAAGTTAAAATTTCGAGAGAAATGCAATGGTGCACTTGTTTTCCAGCTAACTTAATGAAGTTGCGAACAAATGCTACGAATAAATGAATGTAACCAATTTCTGCTTTTTCAACTGTGATAAACAACGCTGGGATGCTTCCAACGAGTGAGGAACGAATCCAGATTATCCTGATGTCTAAGAACAAGAGTTCACGTGTTGCCTAGATCCTGGCCTATCTTCGACTGATCAGTCTCTCAGATCTTTTGTAGAAATTGAACAGCTATCACATGTGACACAGAGACTTTTTTTAAACTCTTTCCGCCCTGTAGACATCAAGAAGGCCTCTTGTAGCAATCCCATTATGGGTTCGGCCAAGCCCACAATAGGGGAACCGAGTGGTGAGGAACGGGGCCCGACATATCCGGACGGACCACCACCTTTTTTCCCTTTTTCCCTTAAAGGGAAAAGGAGCCTCCTCAATTGGGTCTCTGAGGTGACGGCTCCCCTATTCAAAAGGCTCCTAGAAAGGGGCAAAGTCCATGTTGAGTGGACAAGAAACCGAGTCAGGGAACGTCTTGCCTTGACTCGGTGTTACAGGTGCTATGAATTTGGCCATATCGCCCCCAGTGCAGGGTGGAGGCCCAGACTTGTAGCCGCTGTTCGATGGCGCACTCTCACAAAGAGTGCAAAACGAAGCTGCTGAAATGCAGCAACTGTCGCAAAGCCAACAGAAAGTTTGNCAGTGGCGTACCGTGGGTGTCAGCCGCCCGGGGCGGAGGAAAATTTTGGCCGCCCCCCCTTATTTAGGTATTTCAATTTAAAAGACCAAAATTCAGTTTTGTCACAGAACAAGCAATGAAATTCGGTGGTAGTGCAACGACCTGTTTAAAATAGTTCTATTGGATATTAGTGGTGTATATGAACGCGAATGAATCGTACAAGCGAATAAAAAAAAAAGTCAACAGGTTTCGCAGGATTTCCTTGAATTAAAAATTACTAGTTCACCCGGACGGCGAGCCGATTCCCGGACTGTCCGGACGATAGCACTATCGTAGGCGCGATGCAAGTATAGATTAGGATGGTTCAAATTTTTACAAGACATTATTATTATTTATTGTGCAATTTTGCCCCCCCTAAAAAGTGCCGCCCGGGGTGGGCCGCTCCTGCCGCCCCCATTACGGTATGCCACTGATCCTGATGTCTAAGAACAAGAGTTCACGTGTTGCCTAGATCCTGGCCTATCTTCGACTGATCAGTCTCTCAGATCTTTTGTAGAAATTGAACAGCTATCACATGTGACACAGAGACTTTTTTAAAACTCTTTCCGCCCTGTAGACATCAAGAAGGCCTCTTGTAGCAATCCCATTATGGGTTCGGCCAAGCCCACAATAGGGGGACCGAGTGGTGAGGAACGGGGCCCGACATATCCGGACGGACCACCACCTTTTTTCCATTTTTCCCTTAAAGGGAAAAGGAGCCTCCTCAATTGGGTCTTTGAGGTGACGGCTCCCCTATTCAAAAGGCTCCTAGAAAGGGGCAAAGTCCATGTTGAGTGGACAAGAAACCGAGTCAGGGAACGTCTTGCCTTGACTCGGTGTTACAGGTGCTATGAATTTGGCCATATCGCCCCCAGTGCAGGGTGGAGGCCCAGACTTGTAGCCGCTGTTCGATGGCGCACTCTCACAAAGAGTGCAAAACGAAGCTGCTGAAATGCAGCAACTGTCGCAAAGCCAACAGAAAGTTTGGTTTGCAGCTGGAGACGGGCCACTCCTGCCTAAGTCCCAGTTGCCCCTCTTACCTGAGGGAATTGGCCGTGGTTCGGTCTCGTACCGATTATGGCTAGTTACCAACTAATGTTGGCCAAGAAACGAAAAGGAATAGACAGAACATTGTAATCTATGACCTAATGCTCGGTGTATAATCGGACAGGGCTAACTTAGAACCCCTCTGTCCGTTCTAAAGTAAATGTGGGACCTTCGGGCCCCACCTTTTTACATGGCCAATATAGGCGAGGCTATTCAAGGGCTGGGCAAGGGTTGGCTAGAACCCACCTGGCCCGCAACAGAAGCGCAATGCTCATGAAACTTAAAGGATTGTAAATGATATGACGGAACATAGTTTAGTAGTCTAAAGACCTATAGTTTGGCTATATGCCGGGCGGGACCCTTTGGGGAGGGGCCCCACAGTCCGAGAAGTTAAGCATTACTCAGTTCTTGGTTGAGTGTGTATATACAGCTAAAGCTGTTAAAAACTGTATGCAGCATTAGAGGGTTGAACTCAGGAGCGAGGAAGGCAAGGAAGGTTGGTTTCCATTGGGTCGTATCGCCAGAGCCAGAGCTAGAGCCCGAGCATTTTCTTAGATTCGACTTTTTCCGTCCAAGTCACCTCAGTGATTACCGACTGGCCGATTATTAGAATACAGTCTCTTAGTACTCTGTAGTGCCATTTGGCGGGGCAGAGGCTATTTACTTCGAGTTATTATATGAGGATCGCCACCTGAAAAATTCCTGGGGCTTTTTTCGACCCGTCCGGATTCGCTCCTGGATCTCCCGGAACGGTAGGATGACACTGACAACGCGGTGGCTCGGCCGTCCGGCCGTCTAACACAGGATCTCTAAAAGGGATATCGTTGATTAAAATCATTTTCAATGTCAAGTAAGCTCCTTTCCCCAGACTTCAGACTAATCTGGATTCGTTCCTCACTCAGAGACATCCTAGCATTGTTCATCACATCTGTAAATGAAGAAATTGGTTACATTCATTTTTTTTTCATAAATTTTCACAAATTAAAGTTAGGTGGAAAACAAGTGCACCATTGTATCTCTCGAAATTCTAGCTTCATCTCATATATTGCATGACCCAAACCCATTTAAAAATTTTGATATAAATTCAAAATGGTGAACATCCGATTGACACACATAAAGATGGTTGTTTCTAGGCATATAATGTTTCTATCATGCTAAAATTCCCTCTATCTATCTCAGTTCTATTTTATAAGGGTGTTAAGCGATTCACTCTATACATCTATAACGTAATCAAGGAACTTCCGTAATCTATCAGGGGATCTTACTAAAAAGAACGATACCATCAGCATATCTGTTTCTGTTTTTTCCTTTAATATTTATATAATATCATCAATTTCTTTGAAAAT